TATTATTATTATTATTATTATTATTATTATTATTATTATTATTATTAAATGCTGTAATCTGAGGGTTGATGCTCATCCTGGAAAAACTGTACAAGATGATGTACAATATGGACAAATAGTCATATGCTTTGAATTTGTTGTTTTATATTCATACATACCTTCAATTTTCCAATATTATTTTATTGAAAAACATACCCTTGAACAATATCCTAGAATCAATACAAACTTGTTTTAACTGGCCATGAGGTAGTGTTCTGAAATATAAACGCAGTTCAGACAATTGTTGTTCAAACAAACAAAAAAAGTAGGTAAAATCTGTTTCTCATGCAAGTATCAGCCGATTTCCCAAAATTAAGGAAATCTGGTGCACGTATAGTTTGGTGATGTAAACTGCAGACATCTAAAAAAGTTAAATCTGGTCCTCTGGACATTCAAAAAAAACAAAAAACAAAGCAAAACAACAAAAAAATGTAGAAACGTTTCGTCTCTCATCCAAGAGACTTCCTCAGTCTGAGGTGCTGTTTTCAGCTCAGTCACTTAAATAGCACCGTCTCAGAGTGGATCAACCAGTTTTGCTGCTGACAACCAAAACCAGCTGATCAGATTGTCAGATTTAGCTGCCCTTAAAACCCAACAGTTCTTGCTCCATTCATCCTCTGTTAAAGTGTCTTGATGACATCAAGGCATGGACGGCTTCAGATTTTTTAAGTTGTAATGATAAGAAAACTGACGTCATTGTGTTTAACCCCAGCTCTACCGCAGTCACTGATCCCATACATCTTGACTCTTCAGCCTTATCTTAAGCAGTCTGTTACCAAACTCGGGGTGGTTTTGGACTCTGACTTTAAGTTTAATAAACAGATCAACTCTGTTCTTCAAAAAAAGCTTCTTCCAGTTAAGGCTGATAGCTGTAGAGATCTTGTAGAGTGCTGAATGAATGGGTAAATGAGGACACAGATTGTAGTGTAAAGTGCTTTGAGTATCTTGAAATAAGATAGAAAGGCGTTATATAAGTACAGTCCATTTACATTTACCATTTAAACTTAAGTCTGTGCTATCCAGCTGACCTTGAAAAATAGACCATGCATTCGTTACAACCTGGCTGGACTACTGTAAGGAGCTTTATGTTGGGGTCAGTCAGGTCTCCCTTTCATGTCTCCAGCTTGTCCAAAATGCTGCAGCTTGGCTCACAGGAACTCGTAGGTTTGAGCATATTTCAATGGTTTCGTCTTCCCTTCACTGGCTCCATGTGCATGTCAGAATAGATTTAAAAATTCTCCTGTTGACCTTTAACTGCATAAATGACCTTGCACCCTCCCATCTCTCTGACCTACTTTAACCGCATGTTCCTTCTCGGGCTTTGAGATCATCTGACCAGCTGTTTTTGGTTGTACCAAGAACCAGGCTGAAGCTCAGAGGAGATGGAGCTTTTTCAAACATTGGCCCTAAACTTTGGAACAATCTGCCCCCCAACATTAGACATGCCACCTCACTTCCTGTTTTTAAATCTTTTTTAAAAACACATCGGTTTTTTCTGACGTTTAACTCAGTGTGATTTGATTTAGTATTTCATTGTTTCTCATTGTTTTTGTTATGTTTTTATTTTTGTCTCTTTTTATTACATCTCATTATTTTTATTTACGGCCTTGATCTTACTGTTAAGCACTTTGGTAACAGCTGCTGTTTTAAATGTGCTTTATAAATGAATTGGACTTGACTTGAAGAGGATCCTGGCTCTTTGGAAGGACGTCGTGCAGCTGCAGTGATGTGTGCCGTTGTTTGAACAGTTTTATATAAAATGTGTCCGTCTCGTCCCACAGGCTTCTTCCCAGCTGGACACTTTTTTCTCCACTGCCTGTCACCGATTCATTTCTACATCTGAGGAGACTCCGGTCCGAGATCAGCACCTGCAGGCAGCACATCCAAATGAGCCGGCAATCGCAGCCGAAAATCACTTCAGCTGACCACAACGGCGTGAGCGTCATCCAGAGCAAGGCCCACGCCACCTCGTCCTCTTCGTCCCTGCCGGCAGCCGTCGCCGGACTGCAGCAGGTCCCCCAGCTCGTTCCAGCCAACCCTTCCTCAGCAGGAGGCAAAGCTCTCCCCACAAGCAAGATGAAGAAACCCACAATGGACAAGGACAGTGAGGAGTACCGACAGCGACGCGAGCGCAACAACCTGGCAGTGAAGAAGAGTCGCATGCGCAGCAAGCAGAAGGCGATGGACACGCAGCAGCGCGTCAACGAGCTGAAGGAGGAGAACGAGCGGCTGGAGGCCAAAATCAAACTGCTCAGTAAAGAACTGAGCGTGCTCAAAGACCTCTTCCTGGAGCACGCACACAACCTGGCAGACAACGTGCAGCCACCTGCAGGCACCGGTTCCAGCCCCACCCCCAATAGCAACCCCACCAATGCACAGTGAGGGGCCGGGTCTCTGGGACTTTATTTATCTTCAGGTTGTCTGGAAACAAGCCTCACTTCTTCACTGCTTTTCTCTGTTATTGTTTACTATATTTAACCCCGCCCCCTCACCTGATCTGTTAAGAGGTCACTTGGAGGCCCCGCCCCCTCACCAGATCTGTCAGGGCATCACCTGAAAGCCCCGCCCACTCACTGTTTAGATGCTTTTTTGATTTTTAAAATGTATTTTAAATAAGAAAAGAATAATTTTGTGCTGATTGGACAAAGATGGAGGTACTGATCCTCTGACTGGTTTGGACAACAGTGGTGTCAGACTTTGGCGCCGACCCACTGGGTCAGCAGGAGGCAACGGTTCCACTTCCTGTTGGCTCCTCTGGAAGCTCTTCATCATCTTTTCTGTCCTTTAAGTTTCCAGACTGAAGTATTTTCACTACACGCCGATGTTTAAAGGACGATTCTTGTTGATTGTGACAGTCTGGGTCTGGACCAGAACCGGTTCTGACTGTTCGGTAGAAACATTAAAATGACCCAGTTCTTACAGGCCAGACTTGTTTTTCCATCAAGTCATTTGTTTGTTTGTTTGTTTGTTTGTAGGGAAGTGTTTTGAGTTGCACATTTAAATGTTTGTTTGCTGATGTGGAACCAGAACTAAAACTGGACCAGAACCAGAACTGAAACTGGACCAGAACTGATGAGAACAAAGACGCCTGCAGAACTCTTACTCAGCATCAGAACCATGGAGGAACCAGGAACAGGTCTGTTGAAGTAACAATCATCTGGGTCAGAACTCCAGGACCAGTTTAAACGGACCATGAGGTCCAGAAGACCAACTGGATTTAGATCCTCGGACACGGTCCAGTCGGCACCAGCACAAAACAAAAATGGAAATCGGATCCACAAGGATCCAGGACCTGACTCAGAAGTCCAGCTGAGTAATTTTGGGTTCTGATGTTTACCTGTAAACAGGACGCTCCAACATGTCGGAACACGCCGGTTTGGACCCCTCTATACTTGTTGGAGCGACCCTGTCCAGACAGGTGTGTTTGGGTTCTGAGTGCTGGGCGGACCCAGACGCCTCAGGTGAGCCACAGCTTTAGGTAAATCCAGGTTTAAAGTGGGCTGGGTCGTCGGTCGTCTCCTCACCAGGTCTGAGCAGATCGTAACAGGCCTCCACCCTGTTGAAGAGGTGGGCGGGGCTCAGACTGTAATACCTGAGATTTGTACAGGTGTGTCCGGAGTCGTCATCACGTTCTACACAGACCTGCTCCTGATGGACTCGGATGTTTCTGGGTGTCTGAGGTTCTGCTCTGAGCGCGATGAGAGGGAAAACAAAATAGTTTTTTAAAAATTCCTTCAGTACTCTTGTTCAAATGCAGAGTTGGACCCAGTCCAGAACCAGTTCAAAACCAACTACAGGCGTCAGAAATGTTAAACCAATCACAGCCTGAAACATTACATGCTTCACCTGCTGGGTTGATGGTTTCCATGGTAACGTAAACATAATTATGGGTTAATTCAGCTCAGAGCCCCCATGGGAAACATCAGGCATCACAGTTCCATGATCAAACCTTTACTGAAGGTTTATTGTACACACACTGATTTATGTATTATGTCTTAAAAACACAGTAGCATAGATGCTAACTTACTGAAGACGCCAGAGACGCTGCTAATGCAGCTAGCACTGTTTACCAGAAACATATTCACAAATTAACATTTTCATAAAGACTCATTAAGTGTGTTAATAAATATCTAACACTCTTAATGAACTCCGTTTGAGATTTTTTCAGTTTTCTTCAACAGTTTCTCTTTGCCTCTCTCCCATAAAGCTCAGACAGGTGAAGAACTCTGGCAACAGTGGTTGTATGCTCAGTGTCTCCCATCTCTCCTGGTTTGTAACTCCTTCAGAGAGCTCACAGGGGTCTTAGTGGTCTCACTGTTCATGGTCGCTCAGTTTGTGAGGACGACCTGCTCTTGGTAGGTTTACACATGTCCCACATTGATGGATTTAACAGAACTGGGAGGTGTTCAGGGCCTTGAAAATCATTTTTCTGAGCTGAAATAAGTGGTTTTAACGGGTGAATATGCGATCATCATTTTACGTTACATATTTAATTGGTCTTACTGTGATTGACAGGTCCATTCATACTGAGTTCGACTGATTTATGACAGCAGTAAACGCAGAAACCGTCCAAGGTGGTGAATACTTTTGATAGGCTCCATATGTACAGTGTGTACAGGTTCTACTGCAGAACACTATGGTGGCCCAACAAGGACAAACGGCACAGAACCGCAACTTCTCTGCCAACTCTCTTGCCCCAGGCTGCTCCATGTCCATCTAAAACCAGGTTTTAGCTCCCACAGGCTCACCAAACTGAGCCACAACCAAATCATTAGAATTTCAGCTTCCAAACATGAATACCTTGAATCTGTGAAAACATCCTGAAGCTGATTGTTACCATGGCGACCCAGCCCCCACCCCAGCTTCAGATGTGATCATTTGAGATTTTTCTGACTGATGGTTTGGGTCTTCTGCAGAGCACAGCCTGCATCTTTTTTCCACTTTTCTATCAATGTTTTTCTACTCTTTCAGTCCAGCAGAAGCATGTTGGGGGTGGGGGGTTGCATGAAAAGCACCTGGGGGGAGGAGGTGTGCGTAAGAAAAGAAGCTCCTGTGGTGGTTCTGTCTTTTTGTGTTGGTCTGAATGTTGCTGAGCAGCATTTTCCGTCGCTCAGCTTTTTATATCAGAGGTGATGTAATTAAATCTACGTCTGAAGCTTTGGCTGCGTCTCGGCTCTTCTTTGTTCTCTGAAGAAACTTCTGAGTGTCCTGATGATGCTCAACAGTCCAGGTAAAATAAGAAGGTGGAGCCGGGACAGATTCTTCTTTGTTGAAACATTTCGTCTTTTATCCAGAAGACTTCTTCAGTCTGAGGACGATGCTTCTAAACATCATCTTCCTTTTACATGTGAACAGCTAGTTCTGAATGTCAACCAGCTGGTCCACTATGAGAAGGTGCTGCTTACAAGACTCTTACAAGAGTTTGTTGCAGCTCCTCAGACTGAAGAAGTCTTGGATAAAATATTAAATGTTTATGAAAAGAAGAATCCGTCCAAAGGACCTGACTTTGTTAGATGTGTTTCTGATGAGGTTTGTGGCTGGTCGGGTGTTAAAGTTCTGCTTCTGTTCAGCTGTGGGCTCCATCAGGACACATGCAGTCAGTGCAGCTACTGCCTGAAACCACGGCAGAGCTCTTCAACCTGTGGCTCCGGGCCACACGTGGACCAGCTACAGGTGCAGCTCAAAAGAGCATTGTGCAAAAGTTCAATATTTTTAGTCATTTCAAAAAGTGAAGCTCCTTTTACACAGAGTGAAACATTTCAATCCTTCATTTCTTGTCATTTTGATTATTATAACTTAAAAATAATGAAAAAAATCTAATGTGTCAGAAAATGAGAAGTTTAGAAGTTGAACATTGTAAACTCCTGGTGTCTCACCCTGATCAGCTGATGAACTCCTGATAGGAAACGTCTCATTCTTCAAGTCCAGCCTGAACCAGAGACAACATACTGTAAGTGTCTTCTTCAGAAAACCCAGTGGAGCAGCACCAGCAGAGGACATGGACCCAAACCATCACTGACTGTGGGAACTTCTCACTGGACTTGAACAACGTGGATTCTGGACCTCTCCACTCTTCCTCCAGACTCTGGACCTTGAGTTATAAATGACATGAAAATTTACTTTAATCTGAAAAGAACATTGAACCACTGAGAGACAGTCCAGTTCTTTGTCTCCTCAGCAGGTAGGACACATGATGTCTCTGGTTCAGGAGTGGCTGGACTCGAAGAATGAGACATTTGTAGCTCATGTTGAGAGTTCATCAGCTGATCAGGGTGAGACACCAGGAGTTTACAATGTTCAACCTCTGTAAAGAGTTTTATCTGCTGGATCAACAGCACTGTAAAAACTACATTACCCATAAGTCTCTGTGGCTAAAGAAGAGGCCAGTCTGGCCAGGTGGAGCTTTAAAGGAGCGTAAAAGATTCAATAACCACTGCCTTTTGGTAGTGGAGGAATGACTGGTGGGGGTGTTGGTACCTGGTCTTCCCTCACAAACCTGAGAGTGGGAGTCATGGTTTGTTGAAGTCCTTCAGCCACATCAAAGCTGGCCTCAGTCCAGCTAAAGTAAACATGCATTGCGTCAGAAGATATTTGACATTTTCCCGTGACGAGCTGTCATGTGACGAGATAAATCAGTGCTGGACTGATAAGAGGCCTGGATTATTGATCCGAGGTCATCTCAGACTGTCAGCCTTAAAGCCCAACACGTAATGATTGACACAAACGTCATCATGACCTCGACTCAATAAACTCAGGCAGGTCAAAGGTCACAGCGTACCTGCAGCAGGTTAGAAGGTTCAGACAGTCTACTTCCTCCTCACATTGTTCCCATAATTACAGCAGCCAGAGTCTAAAAGTAATAGCTCAGTGTGTTAATCAGATTAAAACTGAGATTCAGGAGCTGTCTGCTCATAGGTTAACACCTCTCTGACAGAAACTGAAGCATCAATGACACCCACAGTACTGAGGGGGGACCCATCTCCTCCACTCCTGTAGACATCTTAAGATCTGTAGACTGTTCTCCTGTAGATCTCTGATGGTCTTTTGTTGATCTCTGATGGTTTCTCGTGGACATCTAATGGTCTCCTGTGGACCTCTGATAGTCTCTCCTGGACATCTGATGGTCTCCCGTGGACTTCTGATGGGCTTTCGTTGACCTCTGATGGTCGTTTCTTGACCTCTGACGGTCCTTTTGTTGACCTCTGATGGTTCTTTTGTTGACCTCTGATGGTCTTCGTGGACATCTGATGGTCTCCCATGGACTTCTGACAGGCTTTTGTTGATCTCTGATGGTCTTTGCTTGACCTCTGATGGTCCTTTTGTTGATCTCTGATGGTTTCCCGTGGACATCTGATGATCTCTCATGGACATCTAATGATCTCCAGTGGACCTCTGATAGTCTCCCATGGACATCTGATGGTCTCCGTGGACATCTGATGGTCTCCATGGACCACTGATGGACTTGTGTTGACCCCTGCTGGTCTCTTGTAAACCCCTGATGATGTCCTGTAGACATCTGATGGTCTCCTGTGAATCTCTGATGGTCGCTTGTGGAACCCTGCTGGTCTTTTGTAAAGCCCCAATGGTCTCCTGTGGACCTCAGATGGTCAACTGTGATATGGTATTCCATGAACCACTGATGGTCTCCTGTTTACATTTGATGGCCTCTTGTGGACATCTGATGGTCTTTTGTTGACATCTTATGGTCTTTTGTTG